CACTGAACCCTGGCACGAATCGCATAGTGCGCTCTGCAGAGAAGGCATTATTTGTTTTTGCGTTTTTGATAGGCAAATGAAGTCAAGCACGAGGTGCCACGTGCTTACTATGATTATGCAAATACATCTGGCCTCAAATCCCAGGTGTACATTGTACATTTGTATTGCCAAGCCAATGGCAGACAAAGTTCGATTGCGTAGCTACTGAGTAAGCGTTATTAGAAATCATGGCTTCAGATGTTTACTGCTGATTTTCTGGTTGTTAACAAGCTGGCTTGTATTTCAAAGGGTTGGACAAACATTTGAAACGATGTCATCCAAGAAAGACCAAGAAGAACAATTTAAAGCATCCTCTTCAAAACCTAGTAAACTGCTCTTTGGTGAAGCATGTCAATCAACATATTCATTTCATGGCTTGACAGGCATATGAAGAAGATTCACAGCACAAATTTGGACAGTAAAGAAAACTGCCAATCAGTGATGAAACGTTTGTTTTCCAAAGAAGAACAACAGGAACAAAAGGACAGCTTTTCAGCTAAAATAGCTCAGATAATTGACAGTCTTTAGCTTTGAATGCTAAGGCTATTAGAAAAAAACGGCTTCTCTAGAAGCCACCAACCAAAAATGTCAATGGCTATAAATCCAGTTAACAAGCTTTTTAAGCGTAAAGTTTCCTTTTGCAGTGAGCATCAGGTCTGCGTAGCATTCCTTTTCTCCTCCATTTTGCTCGTCTGTGTTAAAACGAAGGTCTAACTTGGGGTTCACTAAGTTGCAGTCTTTGAGAAATATCGGAAATTTCATTACTTGACACAATTTCTTTTAGTTCAAATTCTAGTTCAAGGCCAAAGAGCTGGTGTTGTGTGAATATTCCTGTTCTGTTTTGGGGAGTTTGCTCTGCTTCTGCATTTTTCACTTCTCTTTCTCTCTTTTGTCGTCCTTTAAATTTGTTTTCTTGCCATGGAAATAAGTGTAAACATAAAACTACTGATCAATTCCTGACGACTCTGGAGGCTTCTCTTTTTATTTCTAAAACTCATTATTAACTGCACTTGGCAAAAATCCACCAATCACAGAAGTTATCTCTCAATAGCATAGCATAGCAACAACCGCTTAACCTAGCAAACTGGGGATTTTCCGAAATGGACGAATTTGTAACATTAGACTGTCTACTCTCAGAGACAAATTGGGGAAAGTTTCCCTAATTTTGGATAATTGGTATTAAATTAAAGCTCTTTCACCAAAAAGGATGTATTTATTTCCTCGGAAATTGCAATGGTTATGATTAATTGATACCAGGACTTTGTGTCGTCCATTTCAGTAATCACTCGTATCATTACAGACCGAGTTGAACACTAATCAGTCCAAAACCGTTATTAATGAGTCGTATTTAAAAGTCATTTCAAAATGTTGTAATTTTGCAAGAAATTATTACTATTTTGCGAAGCTACGTGAGGGACAAAAGTAGTTGACACACTTGTTTAAAACGGGTGCTTTTTACAAACATTTAATTCATTTATTATTTCATTCTTTTTAAACGCCGTAAATCCCGTCACCCCCCGAATCAATGTTGTCTGAAGTAAAAAAAAAGTAAGTATACGTATAGTAGGATGTTATTTTTATCAAACCAGTTACTTTTTTGTGGATAGATTATTCCCTTGATTCTATCAGCAGCATTCACTATTTCGATAATCATCTTATTATGCGAGTAATTTTTCGTGTACTGCACGGTACTGAAATAAATCATGAAAAGAAACTAAATAACCTAGTAGGAAATACAAATATTCGTGCCTCACCTCACCACCAAATATCGCAAGCTAATATGAAACGTACTTTTGTTGCTGTTGTTGTTGTGAAAATTTACTGGGAATAAGGAACAGGGCCTAACGAGGAGCCTATGAAGCTGTAGAGCGTCCATCTCCGAATCATTAATAGGTTCAATGTCATTGCAAGTTAGATTTTGGGCCCTCTTTAATCCGTGCGGCAAAACCTATAGGAGACAGCCGTTTGCATTCTTGAAAATTTATTTGAGCAAAACCTTAATAGAGAAACGAAAGGATACAGGACAAATATTGTGGATCAGACATACAAAGAAAGCTCACTACCACGATCAGCAAGCAGTCAAGGGTGTAGCCAGCTTTTCGACCAGTTGTAGGCCTGGCTGACTTTCATTTAACATAGATATCCTGAAAATTGCACGCACTGCTAATACACACTGACCTCACCAATAGACTTAACCTTTTAAGCTCACTCCAGCAATGCATAATTTATTACAAGCGGTAGAGCGATCAAAACAAAAAGTTTTAGGCTTGGGCCTACAGATCTCAGTATGGGCTGGCTATGCCCCCTGGCAATTTTGCTAGGAATGACACTTCAGAGGCGCAGTAACGAAAAAAAATGATGCACAATAACATCAAGCTGTGCCAGATGGACGCTCACAATTGGTTTTTCTATCGTTCATAGGTGGCATCATATGAGTAGCAATAAGACCAGTTGAAATCTTACTCCTCCTTTAGTTGAGTTTGCTTTGTGCATTATCCTCTTGTTATCTAAACTTTAGTATTGCATATAGATCCTTGTGGCTCTCTTTCAAGCGCCCCTGGACATTAGTAGAGACAGTTACCAAACCTCTCCAGAACTAAGGGTGCCTTCGAAGAATACACTCTTTTATGTACGCAGTAAAACCTCTTGGCCTTCTTTTTATGGGTTGGTACCATTTCAACATTCCCTTGATCATCATTTTTTTTAGGTACCAGTAACGCTCTTTTTGAAGTATGGCAATGTTGTAGGGTGCTATCTGTACTCGCTTGGGGAACTCATTTGTGCAACCAATGCATGTTGTTGCGTTTGCATAGTGATGAATGAATACTACATAGAAGGGCTCGTCATTTTGGTAATATTCGGTTTACCTCATGGGTTTTGGTGCCATCATGTCGGAATAGTCTTCCTCTAACAGGACTGGTTCCTGGCTCACATTGTTTTTTTTTCCTCTTCTTGGTTTCTTTTCTTGATTTGGCTTTCCCCAAGTTGTTTAGGGAGGTTTGCGCTGATGTTGCCCAGTTTGTTACTAGATTTCTTGTAGGAATCCATGAAGCTTCGCAGCTTTTCAATTTTCTCTGCAACAACAAGAACATGAGGGCAGAAACCACCACCATCGCGAAAGGATTTGCAGCTCTTGTCACATTATATCTTTTCATTCTTGGTCTCCACCGTGTAGCTGCTATCAAACTCAAACTTTCCTGTTCTTAAAGAGATTCTCAAACGTCCAAATAGGCGCTTTCCCTTCTAGGGCTTCTTGAATTTTCCCATAGTATGGGTACCAGATGCTCAATTAATAAGGACAGAGAAGATCATGCCAAAAGACTGCTGATGCAACTGGCAATCGCATCTCTTCAACTAGCATCTCGGGGCCATATACATGGGTGTACCTTGGTTTACGCGATTCGTTTTGGACTGTAGACTGGAATTAGTCTGTATTTCACCAAAGCAGCCTTCGCCAAAATCAGCAACTTTACGAACTAAAGGGTGGCATTCCCAGGCTTGCTCTATATAATCGATTGCCAAATCACAATAATGTTAATTGCTGATCAGGATATTTGCTGGCTTAAGATCGGTGAGGTGACACCACCATTTTGGTGCAGGTATTGTATTGTGTTCTTTGACGCTCATAAAAATGGTCTAGATCAATGAATTAATAGGTTAAAAAGTTTTTGTTTCCAGGTTCTGTTGCAAATTCAAACCAGACACGAAACCAAATTTTGCTAGAGGAAACCCAAAGCCGACAACCGAGGCCTCCAGAAGGTACTAAAATTCCTACACATCTGCCTTAGACTTTCTGAAAGTCCATTTTCGTTGGGCACTCTTTTTTCACAACTATGTTGCTCAAAAAAGTCAACTTGTGGTAAAGTCTACATCTGTCTTAAAACAGGTATAATGCGTGTGCATGATCGACTATTACAAATGATGACCATTTAACTGCAGCATACACTTGTTAGCGCTTTAAAGCAAAGATTGGCCATGTTTTCCTGTTGTTCTTCCTTTCCCTCAAAGGAAAAAAAAAACCTTGAAATGGTCTTCTCGGGACGAAATAATATACATACCAAATTACAGTTCAGCTTCATGTCTTCCTGTCCCAAGACACAATTTTTCTAAGATTTTGTCCCTAAAAAAATTGGAGAGAAGCTTATTGTATTCGTTTCAACTTCATTACAGTTACATTAAGACCAAGTTTAAGTGTTACACCTTTTCTCCTTTGAATGGAAAAAGTAGGAAAAACGAGAAATGAGAAGAAATTCTGTGTAGCCACCAGGCAGGGAACCATTCGAGCAATTGAAAATATTACAAAAGAAAATCGAAAAACAGTAATTCCATTTTAAATGAGGGTTGAACTCTAAATAGCACTGAACCCTGGCACGAATCGCATAGTGCGCTCTGCAGAGAAGGCATTATTTGTTTTATTTTTTTGATAGGCAAATGAAGTCAAGCACGAGGTGCCACGTGCTTACTATGATTATGCAAATACATCTGGCCTCAAATCCCAGGTGTACATTGTACATTTGTATTGCCAAGCCAATGGCAGACAAAGTTCGATTGCGTAGCTACTGAGTAGCGTTATTATTAGAAATCATGGCTTCAGATGTTTACTGCTGATTTTCTGGTTGTTAACAAGCTGGCTTGTATTTCAAAGGGTTGGACAAACATTTGAAACGATGTCATCCAAGAAAGACCAAGAAGAACAATTTAAAGCATCCTCTTCAAAACCTAGTAAACTGCTCTTTGGTGAAGCATGTCAATCAACATATTCATTTCATGGCTTGACAGGCATATGAAGAAGATTCACAGCACAAATTTGGACAGTAAAGAAAACTGCCAATCAGTGATGAAACGTTTGTTTTCCAAAGAAGAACAACAGGAACAAAAGGACAGCTTTTCAGCTAAAATAGCTCAGATAATTGACAGTCTTTAGCTTTGAATGCTAAGGCTATTAGAAAAAAACGGCTTCTCTAGAAGCCACCAACCATAAAAATGTCAATGGCTATAAATCCAGTTAACAAGCTTTTAAGCGTAAAGTTTCCTTTTGCAGTGAGCATCAGGTCTGCGTAGCATTCCTTTTCTCCATTTTGCTCGTCTGTGTTAAAACGAAGGTCTAACTTGGGGTTCACTAAGTTGCAGTCTTTGAGAAATATCGGAAATTTCATTACTTGACACAATTTCTTTTAGTTCAAATTCTAGTTCAAGGCCAAAGAGCTGGTGTTGTGTGAATATTCCTGTTCTGTTTTGGGGAGTTTGCTCTGCTTCTGCATTTTTCACTTCTCTTTCTCTCTTTTGTCGTCCTTTAAATTTGTTTTCTTGCCATGGAAATAAGTGTAAACATAAAACTACTGATCAATTCCTGACGACTCTGGAGGCTTCTCTTTTTATTTCTAAAACTCATTATTAACTGCACTTGGCAAAAATCCACCAATCACAGAAGTTATCTCAATAAGCATAGCAACAACCGCTTAACCTAGTAAACTGGGGATTCTCCAAATTGGACGAATTTGTAACATTAGACTGTCTCTGAGAGAGAAATTGGGGAAAGTTTCCCTTATTTTGGATGATTGTTATTAAAAGCTCTTCCACCAAAAAAGGATGTATTTATTTCCTCGGAAATTGCAATGGTTATGATTAATTGATACCAGGACTTTGTGTCGTCCATTTCAGTAATCACTCGTATCATTACAGACCGAGTTGAACACTAATCAGTCCAAAACCGTTATTAATGAGTCGTATTTAAAAGTCATTTCAAAATGTTGTAATTTTGCAAGAAATTATTACTATTTTGCGAAGCTACATGAGGGACAAAAGTAGTTGACACACTTGTTTAAAACGGGTGCTTTTTACAAACATTTAATTCATTTATTATTTCATTCTTTTTAAACGCCGTAAATCCCGTCACCCCCCGAATCAATGTTGTCTGAAGTAAAAAAAAAGTAAGTATACGTATAGTAGGATGTTATTTTTATCAAACCAGTTACTTTTTTGTGGATAGATTATTCCCTTGATTCTATCAGCAGCATTCACTATTTCGATAATCATCTTATTATGCGAGTAATTTTTCGTGTACTGCTGCGGTACTGAAATAAATCATGAAAAGAAACTAAATAACCTAGTAGGAAATACAAATATTCGTGCCTCACCTCACCACCAAATATCGCAAGCTAATATGAAACGTACTTTTTTTGTTGCTGTTGTTGTTGTGAAAATTTACTGGGAATAAGGAACAGGGCCTAACGAGGAGCCTATGAAGCTGTAGAGCGTCCATCTCCGAATCATTAATAGGTTCAATGTCATTGCAAGTTAGATTTTGGGCCCTCTTTAATCCGTGCGGCAAAACCTATAGGAGACAGCCGTTTGCATTCTTGAAAATTTATTTGAGCAAAACCTTAATAGAGAAACGAAAGGATACAGGACAAATATTGTGGATCAGACATACAAAGAAAGCTCACTACCACGATCAGCAAGCAGTCAAGGGTGTAGCCAGCTTTTCGACCAGTTGTAGGCCTGGCTGACTTTCATTTAACATAGATATCCTGAAAATTGCACGCACTGCTAATACACACTGACCTCACCAATAGACTTAACCTTTTAAGCTCACTCCAGCAATGCATAATTTATTACAAGCGGTAGAGCGATCAAACCAAAAAGTTTTAGGCTTGGGCCTACAGATCTCAGTATGGGCTGGCTATGCCCCCTGGCAATTTTGCTAGGAATGACACTTCAGAGGCGCAGTAACCGAAAAAATGATGCACAATAACATCAAGCTGTGCCAGATGGACGCTCACAATTGGTTTTTCTATCGTTCATAGGTGGCATCATATGAGTAGCAATAAGACCAGTTGAAATCTTACTCCTCCTTTAGTTGAGTTTGCTTTGTGCATTATCCTCTTGTTATCTAAACTTTAGCATTGCATATAGATCCTTGTGGCTCTCTTTCAAGCGCCCCTGGACATTAGTAGAGACAGTTACCAAACCTCTCCAGAACTAAGGGTGCCTTCGAAGAATACACTCTTTATGTACGCAGTAAAACCTCTTGGCCTTTTTTTTTATGGGTTGGTACCATTTCAACATTCCCTTGATCATCTTTTTTTTTAGGTACCAGTAACGCTCTTTGCGAAGTATGGCAATGTTGTAGGGTGCTATCTGTACTCGCTTGGGGAACTCATTTGTGCAACCAATGCATGTTGTTGCGTTTGCATAGTGATGAATGAATACTACATAGAAGGGCTCGTCATTTTGGTAATATTCGGTTTACCTCATGGGTTTTGGTGCCATCATGTCGGAATAGTCTTCCTCTAACAGGACTGGTTCCTGGCTCACATTTTTTTTTCCTCTTCTTGGTTTCTTTTCTTGATTTGGCTTTCCCCAAGTTGTTTAGGGAGGTTTGCGCTGATGTTGCCCAGTTTGTTACTAGATTTCTTGTAGGAATCCATGAAGCTTCGCAGCTTTTCAATTTTCTCTGCAACAACAAGAACATGAGGGCAGAAACCACCACCATCGCGAAAGGATTTGCAGCTCTTGTCACATTATATCTTTTCATTCTTGGTCTCCACCGTGTAGCTGCTATCAAACTCAAACTTTCCTGTTCTTAAAGAGATTCTCAAACGTCCAAATAGGCGCTTTCCCCTCCTCTAGGGCTTCTTGAATTTTCCCATAGTATGGGTACCAGATGCTCAATTAATAAGGACAGAGAAGATCATGCCAAAAGACTGCTGATGCAACTGGCAATCGCATCTCTTCAACTAGCATCTCGGGGCCATATACATGGGTGTACCTTGGTTTACGCGATTCGTTTTGGACTGTAGACTGGAATTAGTCTGTATTTCACCAAAGCAGCCTTCGCCAAAATCAGCAACTTTACGAACTAAAGGGTGGCATTCCCAGGCTTGCTCTATATCATCGATTGCCAAATCACAATAATGTTAATTGCTGATCAGGATATTTGCTGGCTTAAGATCTCGGTGAGCGACACCATTTTGGTGCAGGTATTGTATTGTGTTCTTTGACGCTTATAAAAATGGTCTAGATCAATGAATTAATAGGTTAAAAAGTTTTTGTTTCCAGGTTCTGTTGCAAATTCAAACCAGACACGAAACCAAATTTTGCTAGAGGTAAACCCAAAGCCGACAACCGAGGCCTCCAGAAGGTACTAAAATTCCTACACATCTGCCTTAGACTTTCTGAAAGTCCATTTTCGTTGGGCACTCTTTTTTCACAACTATGTTGCTCAAAAAAAGTCAACTTGTTGTAAAGTCTACATCTGTCTTAAAACAGGTATAATGCGTGTGCATGATCGACTATTACAAATGATGACCATTTAACTGCAGCATACACTTGTTAGCGCTTTAAAGCAAAGATTGGCCATGTTTTCCTGTTGTTCTTCCTTTCCCTCAAAGGAAAAAAAAAACCTTGAAATGGTCTTCTCGGGACGAAATAATATACATACCAAATTACAGTTCAGCTTCATGTCTTCCTGTCCCAAGACACAATTTTTCTAAGATTTTGTCCCAAAAAAAAAAAATTGGAGAGAAGCTTATTGTATTCGTTTCAACTTCATTACAGTTACATTAAGACCAAGTTTAAGTGTTAAACCTTTTCTCCTTTGAATGGAAAAAGTAGGAAAAACGAGAAATGAGAAGAAATTCTGTGTAGCCACCAGGCAGGGAACCATTCGAGCAATTGAAAATATTACAAAAGAAAATCGAAAAACAGTAATTCCATTTTAAATGAGGGTTGAACTCTAAATAGCACTGAACCCTGGCACGAATCGCATAGTGCGCTCTGCAGAGAAGGCATTATTTGTTTTGCGTTTTTGATAGGCAAATGAAGTCAAGCACGAGGTGCCACGTGCTTACTATGATTATGCAAATACATCTGGCCTCAAATCCCAGGTGTACATTGTACATTTGTATTGCCAAGCCAATGGCAGACAAAGTTCGATTGCGTAGCTACTGAGTAAGCGTTATTAGAAATCATGGCTTCAGATGTTTACTGCTGATTTTCTGGTTGTTAACAAGCTGGCTTGTATTTCAAAGGGTTGGACAAACATTTGAAACGATGTCATCCAAGAAAGACCAAGAAGAACAATTTAAAGCATCCTCTTCAAAACCTAGTAAACTGCTCTTTGGTGAAGCATGTCAATCAACATATTCATTTCATGGCTTGACAGGCATATGAAGAAGATTCACAGCACAAATTTGGACAGTAAAGAAAACTGCCAATCAGTGATGAAACGTTTGTTTTCCAAAGAAGAACAACAGGAACAAAAGGACAGCTTTTCAGCTAAAATAGCTCAGATAATTGACAGTCTTTAGCTTTGAATGCTAAGGCTATTATTAAAAAAACGGCTTCTCTAGAAGCCACCAACCATAAAAATGTCAATGGCTATAAATCCAGTTAACAAGCTTTTAAGCGTAAAGTTTCCTTTTGCAGTGAGCATCAGGTCTGCGTAGCATTCCTTTTCTCCTCCATTTTGCTCGTCTGTGTTAAAACGAAGGTCTAACTTGGGGTTCACTAAGTTGCAGTCTTTGAGAAATATCGGAAATTTCATTACTTGACACAATTTCTTTTAGTTCAAATTCTAGTTCAAGGCCAAAGAGCTGGTGTTGTGTGAATATTCCTGTTCTGTTTTGGGGAGTTTGCTCTGCTTCTGCATTTTTCACTTCTCTTTCTCTCTTTTGTCGTCCTTTAAATTTGTTTTCTTGCCATGGAAATAAGTGTAAACATAAAACTACTGATCAATTCCTGACGACTCTGGAGGCTTCTCTTTTTATTTCTAAAACTCATTATTAACTGCACTTGGCAAAATCCACCAATCACAGAAGTTATCTCAATAAGCATAGCAACAACCGCTTAACCTAGTAAACTGGGGATTCTCCAAATTGGACGAATTTGTAACATTAGACTGTCTCTGAGAGAGAAATTGGGGAAAGTTTCCCTTATTTTGGATGATTGTTATTAAAAGCTCTTCCACCAAAAAAGGATGTATTTATTTCCTCGGAAATTGCAATGGTTATGATTAATTGATACCAGGACTTTGTGTCGTCCATTTCAGTAATCACTCGTATCATTACAGACCGAGTTGAACACTAATCAGTCCAAAACCGTTATTAATGAGTCGTATTTAAAAGTCATTTCAAAATGTTGTAATTTTGCAAGAAATTATTACTATTTTTGCGAAGCTACATGAGGGACAAAAGTAGTTGACACACTTGTTTAAAACGGGTGCTTTTTACAAACATTTAATTCATTTATTATTTCATTCTTTTTAAACGCCAGAAATCCCGTCACCCCGAATCAATGTTGTCTGAAGTAAAAAAAAAAAAGTAAGTATACGTATAGTAGGATGTTATTTTTATCAAACCAGTTACTTTTTTGTGGATAGATTATTCCCTTGATTCTATCAGCAGCATTCACTATTTCGATAATCATCTTATTATGCGAGTAATTTTTCGTGTACTGCACGGTACTGAAATAAATCATGAAAAGAAACTAAATAACCTAGTAGGGAATACAAATATTCGTGCCTCACCTCACCACCAAATATCGCAAGCTAATATGAAACGTACTTTTGTTGCTGTTGTTGTTGTGAAAATTTACTGGGAATAAGGAACAGGGCCTAACGAGGAGCCTATGAAGCTGTAGAGCGTCCATCTCCGAATCATTAATAGGTTCAATGTCATTGCAAGTTGGATTTTGGGCCCTCTTTAATCCGTGCGGCAAAACCTATAGGAGACAGCCGTTTGCATTCTTGAAAATTTATTTGAGCAAAACCTTAATAGAGAAACGAAAGGATACAGGACAAATATTGTGGATCAGACATACAAAGAAAGCTCACTACCACGATCAGCAAGCAGTCAAGGGTGTAGCCAGCTTTTCGACCAGTTGTAGGCCTGGCTGACTTTCATTTAACATAGATATCCTGAAAATTGCACGCACTGCTAATACACACTGACCTCACCAATAGACTTAACCTTTTAAGCTCACTCCAGCAATGCATAATTTATTACAAGCGGTAGAGTGATCAAACCAAAAAGTTTTAGGCTTGGGCCTACAGATCTCAGTATGGGCTGGCTATGCCCCCTGGCAATTTTGCTAGGAATGACACTTCAGAGGCGCAGTAACCGAAAAATGATGCACAATAACATCGAGCTGTGCCAGATGGACGCTCACAATTGGTTTTTCTATCGTTCATAGGTGGCATCATATGAGTAGCAATAAGACCAGTTGAAATCTTACTCCTCCTTTAGTTGAGTTTGCTTTGTGCATTATCCTCTTGTTATCTAAACTTTAGCATTGCATATAGATCCTTGTGGCTCTCTTTCAAGCGCCCCTGGACATTAGTAGAGACAGTTACCAAACCTCTCCAGAACTAAGGGTGCCTCGAAGAAGAATACACTCTTTATGTACGCAGTAAAACCTCTTGGCCTTCTTTTTTATGGGTTGGTACCATTTCAACATTCCCTTGATCATCTTTTTTTTTTAGGTACCAGTAACGCTCTTTGCGAAGTATGGCAATGTTGTAGGGTGCTATCTGTACTCGCTTGGGGAACTCATTTGTGCAACCAATGCATGTTGTTGCGCGTTGCATAGTGATGAATGAATACTACATAGAAGGGCTCGTCATTTTGGTAATATTCGGTTTACCTCATGGGTTTTGGTGCCATCATGTCGGAATAGTCTTCCTCTAACAGGACTGGTTCCTGGCTCACATTGTTTTTTCCTCTTCTTGGTTTCTTTTCTTGATTTGGCTTTCCCCCCAAGCTGTTTAGGGAGGTTTGCGCTGATGTTGCCCAGTTTGTTACTAGATTTCTTGTAGGAATCCATGAAGCTTCGCAGCTTTTCAATTTTCTCTGCAACAACAAGAACATGAGGGCAGAAACCACCACCATCGCGAAAGGATTTGCAGCTCTTGTCACATTATATCTTTTCATTCTTGGTCTCCACCGTGTAGCTGCTATCAAACTCAAACTTTCCTGTTCTTAAAGAGATTCTCAAACGTCCAAATAGGCGCTTTCCCCTCCTCTAGGGCTTCTTGAATTTTCCCATAGTATGGGTACCAGATGCTACGATTAATAAGGACAGAGAAGATCATGCCAAAAGACTGCTGATGCAACTGGCAATCGCATCTCTTCAACTAGCATCTCGGGGGCCATATACATGGGTGTACCTTGGTTTACGCGATTCGTTTTGGACTGTAGACTGGAATTAGTCTGTATTTCACCAAAGCAGCCTTCGCCAAAATCAGCAACTTTACGAACTAAAGGGTGGCATTCCCAGGCTTGCTCTATATCATCGATTGCCAAATCACAATAATGTTAATTGCTGATCAGGATATTTGCTGGCTTAAGATCTCGGTGAGCGACACCATTTTGGTGCAGGTATTGTATTGTGTTCTTTGACGCTTATAAAAATGGTCTAGATCAATGAATTAATAGGTTAAAAAGTTTTTGTTTCCAGGTTCTGTTGCAAATTCAAACCAGACACGAAACCAAATTTTGCTAGAGGTAAACCCAAAGCCGACAACCGAGGCCTCCAGAAGGTACTAAAATTCCTACACATCTGCCTTAGACTTTCTGAAAGTCCATTTTCGTTGGGCACTCTTTTCACAACTATGTTGCTCAAAAAAAAAGTCAACTTGTTGTAAAGTCTACATCTGTCTTAAAACAGGTATAATGCGTGTGCATGATCGACTATTACAAATGATGACCATTTAACTGCAGCATACACTTGTTAGCGCTTTAAAGCAAAGATTGGCCATGTTTTCCTGTTGTTCTTCCTTTCCCTCAAAGGAAAAAAAAAAAAACCTTGAAATGGTCTTCTCGGGACGAAATAATATACATACCAAATTACAGTTCAGCTTCATGTCTTCCTGTCCCAAGACACAATTTTTCTAAGATTTTGTCCCTAAAAAAAAAAAATTGGAGAGAAGCTTATTGTATTCGTTTCAACTTCATTACAGTTACATTAAGACCAAGTTTAAGTGTTAAACCTTTTCTCCTTTGAATGGAAAAAGTAGGAAAAACGAGAAATGAGAAGAAATTCTGTGTAGCCACCAGGCAGGGAACCATTCGAGCAATTGAAAATATTTAAAAGAAAATCGAAAAACAGTAATTCCATTTTAAATGAGGGTTGAACTCTAAATAGCACTGAACCCTGGCACGAATCGCATAGTGCGCTCTGCAGAGAAGGCATTATTTGTTTTGCGTTTTTGATAGGCAAATGAAGTCAAGCACGAGGTGCCACGTGCTTACTATGATTATGCAAATACATCTGGCCTCAAATCCCAGGTGTACATTGTACATTTGTATTGCCAAGCCAATGGCAGACAAAGTTCGATTGCGTAGCTACTGAGTAAGCGTTATTAGAAATCATGGCTTCAGATGTTTACTGCTGATTTTCTGGTTGTTAACAAGCTGGCTTGTATTTCAAAGGGTTGGACAAACATTTGAAACGATGTCATCCAAGAAAGACCAAGAAGAACAATTTAAAGCATCCTCTTCAAAACCTAGTAAACTGCTCTTTGGTGAAGCATGTCAATCAACATATTCATTTCATGGCTTGACAGGCATATGAAGAAGATTCACAGCACAAATTTGGACAGTAAAGAAAACTGCCAATCAGTGATGAAACGTTTGTTTTCCAAAGAAGAACAACAGGAACAAAAGGACAGCTTTTCAGCTAAAATAGCTCAGATAATTGACAGTCTTTAGCTTTGAATGCTAAGGCTATTTAGAAAAAAAAACGGCTTCTCTAGAAGCCACCAACCATAAAAATGTCAATGGCTATAAATCCAGTTAACAAGCTTTTAAGCGTAAAGTTTCCTTTTGCAGTGAGCATCAGGTCTGCGTAGCATTCCTTTTCTCCTCCATTTTGCTCGTCTGTGTTAAAACGAAGGTCTAACTTGGGGTTCACTAAGTTGCAGTCTTTGAGAAATATCGGAAATTTCATTACTTGACACAATTTCTTTTAGTTCAAATTCTAGTTCAAGGCCAAAGAGCTGGTGTTGTGTGAATATTCCTGTTCTGTTTTGGGGAGTTTGCTCTGCTTCTGCATTTTTCACTTCTCTTTCTCTCTTTTGTCGTCCTTTAAATTTGTTTTCTTGCCATGGAAATAAGTGTAAACATAAAACTACTGATCAATTCCTGACGACTCTGGAGGCTTCTCTTTTTATTTCTAAAACTCATTATTAACTGCACTTGGCAAAAATCCACCAATCACAGAAGTTATCTCAATAAGCATAGCAACAACCGCTTAACCTAGTAAACTGGGGATTCTCCAAATTGGACGAATTTGTAACATTAGACTGTCTCTGAGAGAGAAATTGGGGAAAGTTTCCCTTATTTTGGATGATTGTTATTAAAAGCTCTTCCACCAAAAAGGATGTATTTATTTCCTCGGAAATTGCAATGGTTATGATTAATTGATACCAGGACTTTGTGTCGTCCATTTCAGTAATCACTCGTATCATTACAGACCGAGTTGAACACTAATCAGTCCAAAACCGTTATTAATGAGTCGTATTTAAAAGTCATTTCAAAATGTTGTAATTTTGCAAGAAATTATTACTATTTTGCGAAGCTACATGAGGGACAAAAGTAGTTGACACACTTGTTTAAAACGGGTGCTTTTTACAAACATTTAATTCATTTATTATTTCATTCTTTTTAAACGCCGTAAATCCCGTCACCCCGAATCAATGTTGTCTGAAGTAAAAAAAAAAAAAGTAATATACGTATAGTAGGATGTTATTTTTATCAAACCAGTTACTTTTTGTGGATAGATTATTCCCTTGATTCTATCAGCAGCATTCACTATTTCGATAATCATCTTATTATGCGAGTAATTTTTTCGTGTACTGCACGGTACTGAAATAAATCATGAAAAGAAACTAAATAACCTAGTAGGGAATACAAATATTCGTGCCTCACCTCACCACCAAATATCGCAAGCTAATATGAAACGTACTTTTGTTGCTGTTGTTGTTGTGAAAATTTACTGGGAATAAGGAACAGGGCCTAACGAGGAGCCTATGAAGCTGTAGAGCGTCCATCTCCGAATCATTAATAGGTTCAATGTCATTGCAAGTTGGATTTTGGGCCCTCTTTAATCCGTGCGGCAAAACCTATAGGAGACAGCCGTTTGCATTCTTGAAAATTTATTTGAGCAAAACCTTAATAGAGAAACGAAAGGATACAGGACAAATATTGTGGATCAGACATACAAAGAAAGCTCACTACCACGATCAGCAAGCAGTCAAGGGTGTAGCCAGCTTTTCGACCAGTTGTAGGCCTGGCTGACTTTCATTTAACATAGATATCCTGAAAATTGCACGCACTGCTAATACACACTGACCTCACCAATAGACTTAACCTTTTAAGCTCACTCCAGCAATGCATAATTTATTACAAGCGGTAGAGTGATCAAACCAAAAAGTTTTAGGCTTGGGCCTACAGATCTCAGTATGGGCTGGCTATGCCCCCTGGCAATTTTGCTAGGAATGACACTTCAGAGGCGCAGTAACCGAAAAATGATGCACAATAACATCGAGCTGTGCCAGATGGACGCTCACAATTGGTTTTTCTATCGTTCATAGGTGGCATCATATGAGTAGCAATAAGACCAGTTGAAATCTTACTCCTCCTTTAGTTGAGTTTGCTTTGTGCATTATCCTCTTGTTATCTAAACTTTAGCATTGCATATAGATCCTTGTGGCTCTCTTTCAAGCGCCCCTGGACATTAGTAGAGACAGTTACCAAACCTCTCCAGAACTAAGGGTGCCTTCGAAGAATACACTCTTTATGTACGCAGTAAAACCTCTTGGCCTTCTTTTTATGGGTTGGTACCATTTCAACATTCCCTTGATCATCTTTTTTTAGGTACCAGTAACGCTCTTTGCGAAGTATGGCAATGTTGTAGGGTGCTATCTGTACTCGCTTGGGGAACTCATTTGTGCAACCAATGCATGTTGTTGCGTTTGCATAGTGATGAATGAATACTACATAGAAGGGCTCGTCATTTTGGTAATATTCGGTTTACCTCATGGGTTTTGGTGCCATCATGTCGGAATAGTCTTCCTCTAACAGGACTGGTTCCTGGCTCACATTGTTTTTTCCTCTTCTTGGTTTCTTTTCTTGATTTGGCTTTCCCCCAAGCTGTTTAGGGAGGTTTGCGCTGATGTTGCCCAGTTTGTTACTAGATTTCTTGTAGGAATCCATGAAGCTTCGCAGCTTTTCAATTTTCTCTGCAACAACAAGAACATGAGGGCAGAAACCACCACCATCGCGAAAGGATTTGCAGCTCTTGTCACATTATATCTTTTCATTCTTGGTCTCCACCGTGTAGCTGCTATCAAACTCAAACTTTCCTGTTCTTAAAGAGATTCTCAAACGTCCAAATAGGCGCTTTCCCCTCCTCTAGGGCTTCTTGAATTTTCCCATAGTATGGGTACCAGATGCTACGATTAATAAGGACAGAGAAGATCATGCCAAAAGACTGCTGATGCAACTGGCAATCGCATCTCTTCAACTAGCATCTCGGGGGCCATATACATGGGTGTACCTTGGTTTACGCGATTCGTTTTGGACTGTAGACTGGAATTAGTCTGTATTTCACCAAAGCAGCCTTCGCCAAAATCAGCAACTTTACGAACTAAAGGGTGGCATTCCCAGGCTTGCTCTATATCATCGATTGCCAAATCACAATAATGTTAATTGCTGATCAGGATATTTGCTGGCTTAAGATCTCGGTGAGCGACACCATTTTGGTGCAGGTATTGTATTGTGTTCTTTGACGCTTATAAAAATGGTCTAGATCAATGAATTAATAGGTTAAAAAGTTTTTGTTTCCAGGTTCTGTTGCAAATTCAAACCAGACACGAAACCAAATTTTGCTAGAGGTAAACCCAAAGCCGACAACCGAGGCCTCCAGAAGGTACTAAAATTCCTACACATCTGCCTTAGACTTTCTGAAAGTCCATTTTCGTTGGGCACTCTTTTCACAACTATGTTGCTCAAAAAAGTCAACTTGTTGTAAAGTCTACATCTGTCTTAAAACAGGTATAATGCGTGTGCATGATCGACTATTACAAATGATGACCATTTAACTGCAGCATACACTTGTTAGCGCTTTAAAGCAAAGATTGGCCATGTTTTCCTGTTGTTCTTCCTTTCCCTCAAAGGAAAAAAACCTTGAAATGGTCTTCTCGGGACGAAATAATATACATACCAAATTACAGTTCAGCTTCATGTCTTCCTGTCCCAAGACACAATTTTTCTAAGATTTTGTCCCTAAAAAAAATTGGAGAGAAGCTTATTGTATTCGTTTCAACTTCATTACAGTTACATTAAGACCAAGTTTAAGTGTTAAACCTTTTCTCCTTTGAATGGAAAAAGTAGGAAAAACGAGAAATGAGAAGAAATTCTGTGTAGCCACCAGGCAGGGAACCATTCGAGCAATTGAAAATATTACAAAAGAAAATCGAAAAACAGTAATTCCATTTTAAATGAGGGTTGAACTCTAAATAGCACTGAACCCTGGCACGAATCGCATAGTGCGCTCTGCAGAGAAGGCATTATTTGTTTTTGCGTTTTTGATAGGCAAATGAAGTCAAGCACGAGGTGCCACGTGCTTACTATGATTATGCAAATACATCTGGCCTCAAATCCCAGGTGTACATTGTACATTTGTATTGCCAAGCCAATGGCAGACAAAGTTCGATTGCGTAGCTACTGAGTAAGCGTTATTAGAAATCATGGCTTCAGATGTTTACTGCTGATTTTCTGGTTGTTAACAAGCTGGCTTGTATTTCAAAGGGTTGGACAAACATTTGAAACGATGTCATCCAAGAAAGACCAAGAAGAACAATTTAAAGCATCCTCTTCAAAACCTAGTAAACTGCTCTTTGGTGAAGCATGTCAATCAACATATTCATTTCATGGCTTGACAGGCATATGAAGAAGATTCACAGCACAAATTTGGACAGTAAAGAAAACTGCCAATCAGTGATGAAACGTTTGTTTTCCAAAGAAGAACAACAGGAACAAAAGGACAGCTTTTCAGCTAAAATAGCTCAGATAATTGACAGTCTTTAGCTTTGAATGCTAAGGCTATTAGAAAAAAACGGCTTCTCTAGAAGCCACCAACCATAAAAATGTCAATGGCTATAAATCCAGTTAACAAGCTTTTAAGCGTAAAGTTTCCTTTTGCAGTGAGCATCAGGTCTGCGTAGCATTCCTTTTCTCCTCCATTTTGCTCGTCTGTGTTAAAACGAAGGTCTAACTTGGGGTTCACTAAGTTGCAGTCTTTGAGAAATATCGGAAATTTCATTACTTGACACAATTTCTTTTAGTTCAAATTCTAGTTCAAGGCCAAAGAGCTGGTGTTGTGTGAATATTCCTGTTCTGTTTTGGGGAGTTTGCTCTGCTTCTGCATTTTTCACTTCTCTTTCTCTCTTTTGTCGTCCTTTAAATTTGTTTTCTTGCCATGGAAATAAGTGTAAACATAAAACTACTGATCAATTCCTGACGACTCTGGAGGCTTCTCTTTTATTTCTAAAACTCATTATTAACTGCACTTGGCAAAAATCCACCAATCACAGAAGTTATCTCAATAAGCATAGCAACAACCGCTTAACCTAGTAAACTGGGGATTCTCCAAATTGGACGAATTTGTAACATTAGACTGTCTCTGAGAGAGAAATTGGGGAAAGTTTCCCTTATTTTGGATGATTGTTATTAAAAGCTCTTCCACCAAAAAAGGATGTATTTATTTCCTCGGAAATTGCAATGGTTATGATTAATTGATACCAGGACTTTGTGTCGTCCATTTCAGTAATCACTCGTATCATTACAGACCGAGTTGAACACTAATCAGTCCAAAACCGTTATTAATGAGTCGTATTTAAAAGTCATTTCAAAATGTTGTAATTTTGCAAGAAATTATTACTATTTTGCGAAGCTACATGAGGGACAAAAGTAGTTGACACACTTGTTTAAAACGGGTGCTTTTTACAAACATTTAATTCATTTATTATTTCATTCTTTTTAAACGCCGTAAATCCCGTCACCCCCCGAATCAATGTTGTCTGAAGTAAAAAAAAAGTAAGTATACGTATAGTAGGATGTTATTTTTATCAAACCAGTTACTTTTTTGTGGATAGATTATTCCCTTGATTCTATCAGCAGCATTCACTATTTCGATAATCATCTTATTATGCGAGTAATTTTTCGTGTACTGCACGGTACTGAAATAAATCATGAAAAGAAACTAAATAACCTAGTAGGGAATACAAATATTCGTGCCTCACCTCACCACCAAATATCGCAAGCTAATATGAAACGTACTTTTGTTGCTGTTGTTGTTGTGAAAATTTACTGGGAATAAGGAACAGGGCCTAACGAGGAGCCTATGAAGCTGTAGAGCGTCCATCTCCGAATCATTAATAGGTTCAATGTCATTGCAAGTTGGATTTTGGGCCCTCTTTAATCCGTGCGGCAAAACCTATAGGAGACAGCCGTTTGCATTCTTGAAAATTTATTTGAGCAAAACCTTAATAGAGAAACGAAAGGATACAGGACAAATATTGTGGATCAGACATACAAAGAAAGCTCACTACCACGATCAGCAAGCAGTCAAGGGTGTAGCCAGCTTTTCGACCAGTTGTAGGCCTGGCTGACTTTCATTTAACATAGATATCCTGAAAATTGCACGCACTGCTAATACACACTGACCTCACCAATAGACTTAACCTTTTAAGCTCACTCCAGCAATGCATAATTTATTACAAGCGGTAGAGTGATCAAACCAAAAAGTTTTAGGCTTGGGCCTACAGATCTCAGTATGGGCTGGCTATGCCCCTGGCAATTTTGCTAGGAATGACACTTCAGAGGCGCAGTAACCGAAAAATGATGCACAATAACATCGAGCTGTGCCAGATGGACGCTCACAATTGGTTTTTCTATCGTTCATAGGTGGCATCATATGAGTAGCAATAAGACCAGTTGAAATCTTACTCCTCCTTTAGTTGAGTTTGCTTTGTGCATTATCCTCTTGTTATCTAAACTTTAGCATTGCATATAGATCCTTGTGGCTCTCTTTCAAGCGCCCCTGGACATTAGTAGAGACAGTTACCAAACCTCTCCAGAACTAAGGGTGCCTTCGAAGAATACACTCTTTATGTACGCAGTAAAACCTCTTGGCCTTCTTTTTTATGGGTTGGTACCATTTCAACATTCCCTTGATCATTTTTTTAGGTACCAGTAACGCTCTTTGCGAAGTATGGCAATGTTGTAGGGTGCTATCTGTACTCGCTTGGGGAACTCATTTGTGCAACCAATGCATGTTGTTGCGTTTGCATAGTGATGAATGAATACTACATAGAAGGGCTCGTCATTTTGGTAATATTCGGTTTACCTCATGGGTTTTGGTGCCATCATGTCGGAATAGTCTTCCTCTAACAGGACTGGTTCCTGGCTCACATTGTTTTTTCCTCTTCTTGGTTTCTTTTCTTGATTTGGCTTTCCCCCAAGCTGTTTAGGGAGGTTTGCGCTGATGTTGCCCAGTTTGTTACTAGATTTCTTGTAGGAATCCATGAAGCTTCGCAGCTTTTCAATTTTCTCTGCAACAACAAGAACATGAGGGCAGAAACCACCACCATCGCGAAAGGATTTGCAGCTCTTGTCACATTATATCTTTTCATTCTTGGTCTCCACCGTGTAGCTGCTATCAAACTCAAACTTTCCTGTTCTTAAAGAGATTCTCAAACGTCCAAATAGGCGCTTTCCCCTCCTCTAGGGCTTCTTGAATTTTCCCATAGTATGGGTACCAGATGCTACGATTAATAAGGACAGAGAAGATCATGCCAAAAGACTGCTGATGCAACTGGCAATCGCATCTCTTCAACTAGCATCTCGGGGCCATATACATGGGTGTACCTTGGTTTACGCGATTCGTTTTGGACTGTAGACTGGAATTAGTCTGTATTTCACCAAAGCAGCCTTCGCCAAAATCAGCAACTTTACGAACTAAAGGGTGGCATTCCCAGGCTTGCTCTATATCATCGATTGCCAAATCACAATAATGTTAATTGCTGATCAGGATATTTGCTGGCTTAAGATCTCGGTGAGCGACACCATTTTGGTGCAGGTATTGTATTGTGTTCTTTGACGCTTATAAAAATGGTCTAGATCAATGAATTAATAGGTTAAAAAGTTTTTGTTTCCAGGTTCTGTTGCAAATTCAAACCAGACACGAAACCAAATTTTGCTAGAGGTAAACCCAAAGCCGACAACCGAGGCCTCCAGAAGGTACTAAAATTCCTACACATCTGCCTTAGACTTTCTGAAAGTCCATTTTCGTTGGGCACTCTTTTCACAACTATGTTGCTCAAAAAAAGTCAACTTGTTGTAAAGTCTACATCTGTCTTAAAACAGGTATAATGCGTGTGCATGATCGACTATTACAAATGATGACCATTTAACTGCAGCATACACTTGTTAGCGCTTTAAAGCAAAGATTGGCCATGTTTTCCTGTTGTTCTTCCTTTCCCTCAAAGGAAAAAAACCTTGAAATGGTCTTCTCGGGACGAAATAATATACATACCAAATTACAGTTCAGCTTCATGTCTTCCTGTCCCAAGACACAATTTTTCTAAGATTTTGTCCCTAAAAAAAATTGGAGAGAAGCTTATTGTATTCGTTTCAACTTCATTACAGTTACATTAAGACCAAGTTTAAGTGTTAAACCTTTTCTCCTTTGAATGGAAAAAGTAGGAAAAACGAGAAATGAGAAGAAATTCTGTGTAGCCACCAGGCAGGGAACCATTCGAGCAATTGAAAATATTACAAAAGAAAATCGAAAAACAGTAATTCCATTTTAAATGAGGGTTGAACTCTAAATAGCACTGAACCCTGGCACGAATCGCATAGTGCGCTCTGCAGAGAAGGCATTATTTGTTTTGCGTTTTTGATAGGCAAATGAAGTCAAGCACGAGGTGCCACGTGCTTACTATGATTATGCAAATACATCTGGCCTCAAATCCCAGGTGTACATTGTACATTTGTATTGCCAAGCCAATGGCAGACAAAGTTCGATTGCGTAGCTACTGAGTAAGCGTTATTAGAAATCATGGCTTCAGATGTTTACTGCTGATTTTCTGGTTGTTAACAAGCTGGCTTGTATTTCAAAGGGTTGGACAAACATTTGAAACGATGTCATCCAAGAAAGACCAAGAAGAACAATTTAAAGCATCCTCTTCAAAACCTAGTAAACTGCTCTTTGGTGAAGCATGTCAATCAACATATTCATTTCATGGCTTGACAGGCATATGAAGAAGATTCACAGCACAAATTTGGACAGTAAAGAAAACTGCCAATCAGTGATGAAACGTTTGTTTTCCAAAGAAGAACAACAGGAACAAAAGGACAGCTTTTCAGCTAAAATAGCTCAGATAATTGACAGTCTTTAGCTTTGAATGCTAAGGCTATTAGAAAAAAACGGCTTCTCTAGAAGCCACCAACCATAAAAATGTCAATGGCTATAAATCCAGTTAACAAGCTTTTAAGCGTAAAGTTTCCTTTTGCAGTGAGCATCAGGTCTGCGTAGCATTCCTTTTCTCCTCCATTTTGCTCGTCTGTGTTAAAACGAAGGTCTAACTTGGGGTTCACTAAGTTGCAGTCTTTGAGAAATATCGGAAATTTCATTACTTGACACAATTTCTTTTAGTTCAAATTCTAGTTCAAGGCCAAAGAGCTGGTGTTGTGTGAATATTCCTGTTCTGTTTTGGGGAGTTTGCTCTGCTTCTGCATTTTTCACTTCTCTTTTCTCTTTTGTCGTCCTTTAAATTTGTTTTCTTGCCATGGAAATAAGTGTAAACATAAAACTACTGATCAATTCCTGACGACTCTGGAGGCTTCTCTTTTTATTTCTAAAACTCATTATTAACTGCACTTGGCAAAAATCCACCAATCACAGAAGTTATCTCAATAAGCATAGCAACAACCGCTTAACCTAGTAAACTGGGGATTCTCCAAATTGGACGAATTTGTAACATTAGACTGTCTCTGAGAGAGAAATTGGGGAAAGTTTCCCTTATTTTGGATGATTGTTATTAAAAGCTCTTCCACCAAAAAAGGATGTATTTATTTCCTCGGAAATTGCAATGGTTATGATTAATTGATACCAGGACTTTGTGTCGTCCATTTCAGTAATCACTCGTATCATTACAGACCGAGTTGAACACTAATCAGTCCAAAACCGTTATTAATGAGTCGTATTTAAAAGTCATTTCAAAATGTTGTAATTTTGCAAGAAATTATTACTATTTTGCGAAGCTACGTGAGGGACAAAAGTAGTTGACACACTTGTTTAAAACGGGTGCTTTTTACAAACATTTAATTCATTTATTATTTCATTCTTTTTAAACGCCGTAAATCCCGTCACCCCCCGAATCAATGTTGTCTGAAGTAAAAAAAAAAAAGTAAGTATACGTATAGTAGGATGTTATTTTTATCAAACCAGTTACTTTTTTTTGTGGATAGATTATTCCCTTGATTCTATCAGCAGCATTCACTATTTCGATAAATCATCTTATTATGCGAGTAATTTTTCGTGTACTGCACGGTACTGAAATAAATCATGAAAAGAAACTAAATAACCTAGTAGGGAATACAAATATTCGTGCCTCACCTCACCACCAAATATCGCAAGCTAATATGAAACGTACTTTTGTTGCTGTTGTTGTTGTGAAAATTTACTGGGAATAAGGAACAGGGCCTAACGAGGAGCCTATGAAGCTGTAGAGCGTCCATCTCCGAATCATTAATAGGTTCAATGTCATTGCAAGTTGGATTTTGGGCCCTCTTTAATCCGTGCGGCAAAACCTATAGGAGACAGCCGTTTGCATTCTTGAAAATTTATTTGAGCAAAACCTTAATAGAGAAACGAAAGGATACAGGACAAATATTGTGGATCAGACATACAAAGAAAGCTCACTACCACGATCAGCAAGCAGTCAAGGGTGTAGCCAGCTTTTCGACCAGTTGTAGGCCTGGCTGACTTTCATTTAACATAGATATCCTGAAAATTGCACGCACTGCTAATACACACTGACCTCACCAATAGACTTAACCTTTTAAGCTCACTCCAGCAATGCATAATTTATTACAAGCGGTAGAGTGATCAAACCAAAAAGTTTTAGGCTTGGGCCTACAGATCTCAGTATGGGCTGGCTATGCCCCTGGCAATTTTGCTAGGAATGACACTTCAGAGGCGCAGTAACCGAAAAATGATGCACAATAACATCGAGCTGTGCCAGATGGACGCTCACAATTGGTTTTTCTATCGTTCATAGGTGGCATCATATGAGTAGCAATAAGACCAGTTGAAATCTTACTCCTCCTTTAGTTGAGTTTGCTTTGTGCATTATCCTCTTGTTATCTAAACTTTAGCATTGCATATAGATCCTTGTGGCTCTCTTTCAAGCGCCCCTGGACATTAGTAGAGACAGTTACCAAACCTCTCCAGAACTAAGGGTGCCTTCGAAGAATACACTCTTTATGTACGCAGTAAAACCTCTTGGCCTTCTTTTTTATGGGTTGGTACCATTTCAACATTCCCTTGATCATCTTTTTTAGGTACCAGTAACGCTCTTTGCGAAGTATGGCAATGTTGTAGGGTGCTATCTGTACTCGCTTGGGGAACTCATTTGTGCAACCAATGCATGTTGTTGCGTTTGCATAGTGATGAATGAATACTACATAGAAGGGCTCGTCATTTTGGTAATATTCGGTTTACCTCATGGGTTTTGGTGCCATCATGTCGGAATAGTCTTCCTCTAACAGGACTGGTTCCTGGCTCACATTGTTTTTCCTCTTCTTGGTTTCTTTTCTTGATTTGGCTTTCCCCCAAGCTGTTTAGGGAGGTTTGCGCTGATGTTGCCCAGTTTGTTACTAGATTTCTTGTAGGAATCCATGAAGCTTCGCAGCTTTTCAATTTTCTCTGCAACAACAAGAACATGAGGGCAGAAACCACCACCATCGCGAAAGGATTTGCAGCTCTTGTCACATTATATCTTTTCATTCTTGGTCTCCACCGTGTAGCTGCTATCAAACTCAAACTTTCCTGTTCTTAAAGAGATTCTCAAACGTCCAAATAGGCGCTTTCCCCTCCTCTAGGGCTTCTTGAATTTTCCCATAGTATGGGTACCAGATGCTACGATTAATAAGGACAGAGAAGATCATGCCAAAAGACTGCTGATGCAACTGGCAATCGCATCTCTTCAACTAGCATCTCGGGGCCATATACATGGGTGTACCTTGGTTTACGCGATTCGTTTTGGACTGTAGACTGGAATTAGTCTGTATTTCACCAAAGCAGCCTTCGCCAAAATCAGCAACTTTACGAACTAAAGGGTGGCATTCCCAGGCTTGCTCTATATCATCGATTGCCAAATCACAATAATGTTAATTGCTGATCAGGATATTTGCTGGCTTAAGATCTCGGTGAGCGACACCATTTTGGTGCAGGTATTGTATTGTGTTCTTTGACGCTTATAAAAATGGTCTAGATCAATGAATTAATAGGTTAAAAAGTT